CTTCTGCTGCTCAAAGCTTTAGTGTTTTGAGCAGCTTAGCTGCTTAATAACTTTCCAATAAGAAGCAAACTTTTAGTGGAGGCAGTGTGATGGTATGGGCTATAAAAAGGCTGCATGCACTGAGCTTTGTTCTGCAGCATTAGCTCCTTCAGACGCCATTTTATCAGAGACGACCTCCTAAAAGGTTGAACCGGTCGGTCTGTTAGAGTCCCAGTGGCTGGCAGTCAGGGGAGGCTTTTATAATCTAATCCAACAATGCTTACCTTTTTTTTTTTTTTCTTTTTACTGATGTGGAATCTTTGAATAGAAATAAGCAGATGGTTTTTAATGAAGGAATTTTACAACAGAGAAGGAAGTAGAAATTAGTAGAGAACTTCTAATATTTCCTGTTCTTCCCTCATAGTTTAGCCCCAAGAGTTACGGGTAGCACTAAAGAGAATTTGGATTATGAAGCAACAGAAACAAAACAAAACGGTCCCATCATTATTTTCTCAGGCATTTTATAAAAACTTTGTTTTAAAAAATGAATTTAAAACCCATTGGTTCTGTATAATAGAACATTTTAGTGATTTTCAAGTGTTACCTGGTTAAAGTAAAACCAGGAGACTGAGATCTTCGGCCTCTCCTCCTGCCATGCAGAGAGGTTTGGGAGCATCAAGGCCATGGAGTCATGAGATTGGTACTTAAACCACATGAATTAATTCAGTTTGATCTCTGTGAGAGTTTCTCTGAGCACATTCCATGGATTTCTGCCTGTTAATGATTTTATAAATGCAGTATTGCAGCAGGAACCCCATTTAAAGCTGAGCGATCTCCTGTCTGTGTTTGTAGTTCATCCCCATGCCGGTGCTGTACGGTGTCTTCCTCTACATGGGCGTAGCTTCCCTCAGTGGGATCCAGGTACGCCGTCTGTTCGCTTCCCTTTGTCTCCATAACTTGGTTTCCTTCTGGTCTGAACCATCCTGATGGGAGGCGACCTGTTAATCGCTGACAGGTTTTATGAATTATTGTCGCTGTGTTTCTCAGTTCTGGGACAGGATCAAGTTGTTCCTGATGCCATCCAAGCACCAGCCAGACTTCAGCTATCTCCGCCACGTTCCTCTGAGGAGGGTTCATCTCTTCACTCTCATCCAGATTATATGCCTGGCTATTCTCTGGGTCCTTAAATCCACCTTTTTGGCCATCATCTTCCCCGTCATGGTAGGTGCAGAAACGCCGTTTGCATGAAGCCTTTGCTGCTGC